TTCTTGATACATATTTTTAGATACGATAGTTTTATTCCAGACACAAATGTTAATATCATCGTGAGCCAGTGGAGTGTGCCTGTCTAGACCTTCGTCCAGACACAGTCTCGTTATTACCGATACCATACCTATCTCCCCACATAAAATAACTACGGTCTCTCAACCCCACATACCAATTTCCCAACATAACATATCTATAGTCTCTCAACCCCACATACCAATTTCAAAGCATACCATAACTATAGTCTCTCAACCCCACATACCAATCTCCCACATAACATAACTATAGTCTCTCAACCCCACATACCAATTTCCCAACATACCATAACTATAGTCTCTCAACCCCACATACCAATTTCAAAACATACCATAACTATAGTCTCTCAACCCCACATACCAATTTCAAAACATACCATAACTATAGTCTCTCAACCCCCCATCTCCCCACATACCAACTATTCTCTCAACCCCACATACATACATATAACTATAGTCTCTCAACCCCACATACCAATCTCCCACATAACATAAACTATAGTCTCTCAACCCCACATACCAATCTCCCCACATAACATAACTATAGTCTCTCAACCCCACATACCCATCTCCCCACATAACATAACTATAGTCTCTCAACCCCACATACCCATCTCCCCACATAACATAACTATAGTCTCTCAAACCCCACATACCCATCTCCCCACATAACATAACTAGTCTCTCAACCCCACATACCCATCCCCCACATAACATAACTATTCTCTCAACCCCACATACAAATCTCCCAACATAACCTAACTATAGTCTCTCAACCCCACATACCCATCTCCCACATAACATAACTATAGTCTCTCAACCCCACATACCCATCTCCCCCTTACATAGACATAACTAGTCTCCTACCCTACATACCCATCTCCCCCCCATAATACCTATCTCTCTACCTACCCCACATACCAATCTCTCCCTACATAACATAACTAGTCTCCCTGACCCCACAAACCAGTCTCCCTACATAACATACACTATAGTCTCTCTACCCCACATACCAGTCTCCCCACCCTAACATACCATAGTCTCTCAAACCTACCCAACATACCACATAACATCTTCCTACCCCACATACCACCTCCTACTCCATAGACATACCAGTCTCCCTACCCCACATTACAGTCTTCCGACCCCACATACCAGTCTCTTAGCCCACATATCGATCACCCTACCATATTTACCAGATTTCCTACCCGACATACCAGTCTCTTACCCCAAATACCACTCTTCCTACCCCACATACCACTCTTTCTACTCACATACCAGTCTCCTACCCCACATACCAGTCTCCCTCCCAACATACAACACTAATTACCCACAAACCAGTCTCCCTACCCCACATACCAGTCTACCAGACTCCTAGCCCACATACCAGTCTCCCTACCCCACATGCCAGTCTCCCTACCCCACATGCCAGTCTCCCTCCCCACATACAACACTAATTACCCACAAACCAGTCTCCCTACCCCACATACCAGTCTACCAGACTCCTAGCCCACATACCAGTCTCCCTACCCCACATGCCAGTCTCCCTACCCCACATGCCAGTCTACCAGACTCCCAGTCTCCCTACCCCACATACCTCCCTCTCCATACCAGTCTCCCACATGCCAGTCTCCCTACCCCCACATACCAGTCTGCCTACCCCACATCCTAGTCTCCACATATGCCAGTCTCCCTACCCCACACATACCAGTCTCCCTACTCCCCACATACCAGTCTCCCTACCCCACATACCAGTCTCCCTACACATACCACAGTACCAGTCTACATACCAGTCTCCCTAGCCCCACATACCAGTCTCCTACCCCACATCCAGTCTCCTACTCCTAGCCACATACCAGTCTCCTACCCCACATACCAGTCTACCCAGACTCCCCACACATACCAGTCTCCCACCCCACATACCAGTCTCCCTACCCCACATACCAGTCTCCACCACATACCAGTCTCCTACATACATACCAGTCTACCAGACTCCTACTCCCCACATACCAGTCTCCCTACCCCACATACCAGTCTCCCTACCCCACATACCAGTCTCCCTACCCCACATACCAGTCTACCAGACTCCTAGCCCACATACCAGTCTCCCTACCCCACATGCCAGTCTCCCTACCCCACATACCAGTCTCCCTACCCCAACATACCAGTCTCCCTACCCCACATACCAGTCTCTCAGACTCCTAGCACATACCAGTCTCCCTACCCCACATACCAGTCTCCTGCCCTTACATACCTCCACATACCAGTCTCCCTACCCCACATACCAGTCTCCTCAGACTCCATACTCAGTCTCCCACCCCACATACCAGTCTCCTACCCCACATACCAGTCTCCCTACCCCACATACCAGTCTCTCTCCTACCCAACATACCAGTCTCTCCCCATACTTAGTCTCCCTACCCCACATACTAGTCTCCTAGCTCCACATACCAGTCTCCTACTCCCACATACCAGTTCTCCCTACCCCACATACCAGTCTCCCTACCCCACATACCAGTCTCTCCCTACCCCACATACCAGTCTCCTAGACTCCTAGCCCACATACCAGTCTCCCTACCCCACATACCAGTCTGCCTACCCTCCTTACATGCCAGTCTGCATACCCCACATACCAGTCTCCTTTAACATACCACATACTACCCCACATACCAGTCTCCTACCCCACATACTCAGTCTCCCTACTCCACACATACCAGTCTCCTACCCCACATACTAGTCTCCTTCTACCCTACACCACTCCAGCTCCACATACCAGACTCCTACCCCACATACCAGTCTCCTACCCCACATACCAGTCTCCTACCCCACATACCAGTCTCCTATACCCCACATACCAGTCTCCTCACCCACATACCAGTCTCCTACCCCACATACCAGTCTCCTTACCCCCACATACCAGTCTCCTAGACTCCCCCACATACCAGTCTGCCTTCCCCACATACCAGTCTCCCTACCCCACATACCAGTCTCCTACCCCACATACCAGTCTCCCTACCCCACATACCAGTCTGCCTACAACACATACCAGTCTCCCTACCCCACTTACCAGTCTACCTACCCCACATACCAGTCTCCATACCCCACATACCAATATCCTACCCCAACATACCAGTCTGCCTACCCCACATACCAGTTTCCTACCCACATATACCAGTCTCCCTACCCAACATACCAATCTCTAGACCCCACATACCAGTCTCCTCTACTACCCCACATACCAGTCTGCCTCTACCCCACATACCAGTCTCCTACCCCACATGCAGTCTCTCCCTTCCCCACATACCAGTCTCCTTCCCCCACATACCAGTGCCTACCCCACATCCAGTCTCCTACATACCAGTCTGCTCATTCCCACATACCAGTCTCTACCCCACATACCAGTCTCCCTACATCCACATACCAGTCTCCTACCCCACATACCACTCCCTACCCCACATACCAGGGCTGCCCACATACCAGTCTCCCTACCCCACATACCAGTCTGCCTACCCCACATACCAGTCTCCCTACCCCACATACCAGTCTGCCTACCCCACATACCAGTCTCCTACCCCCACATGCTGCTTCCACCCTACCCCCACATACCAGTCTCCCTTACCCCACATACCAATCTCCTACCCCACATACCAGTCTGCCTACCCCACATACCAGTCTCCTACCCACATACCAGTCTCCCTACCCCACATACCAGTCTCCTACCCCACATACCAGTCTCCCTACCCCACATACCAGTCTGCCTACCCCACATACCAGTCTCCCTACCCCACATACCAGTCTCCTTCCCCACATACCAGTCTCCTACCCACATACCAGTCTCCCCTCCCCACATACCAGTCTCCCTACCCCACATACCAGTCTCCCTACCCCACATACCAGTCTCCCTACCATACCAGTCTGTCTCACCCCAGTCTCCCTCACCCCACATGCCCAGTCTCCTACCCCACATACCAGTCTCCCTACCCCACATACCAGTCTCCCCACCCACATACCAGTCTCCTACCCCACATACCAGTCTCCCTGCAACATACCACACTCTCCTACCCACATACCAGTCTCCCTACCCCACATACCAGTCTCCTTACCCACATACCAGTCTCCCTACCCCACATACCAGTCTCCCTTCCCAACATTACAGTCTCCCACCCCACATACCAGTCTCTTATAACCCACATACCAGTCCCCTACCCCACATACCAGTCTGCCTACCCAACATTACAGTCTCCTACCCCACATACCAATCTCCTACCCCACATACCAGTCTCCCTTCCCCACATACCAGTCTCCCTACCCACATACCAGTCTACCTACCCACATACCAGACTCCTACCCCACATACCAGTCTGCCTACTCCACATACCACTCTCCCTACCCCACATACCAGTCTGTCTACCCCACATACCAGTCTCCCTACCCCACATGCCAGTCTCCCTTCCCCACATACCAGTCTCCCTACCCCACATACCAGACTCCTACCCCACATACCAGTCTCCCTACCCCACATGCCAGTCTCCCTACCCCACATACCAGTCTCCTACCCCACATACCAGTCTCCCTACCCACATACCAGTCTCCCTACCCCACATGCAGTCTCCTTCCCCACATACCAGTCTCCTACCCCCACATACCAGTCTCCCTACCCCACATACCAATTACCACCCCTACCCCACATACCAGTCTCCCTACCCACATACCAGTCACCCCAGTCTCCCTACCCACATACCAGTCTCCTACCCCACATACCAGTCTCCCTACCCCACATACCAGACTCCCATCCAACATACCAGTCTACCTACCCCACATACCAGTCTCCCTACCCCACATACCAGTATCCCTACCCCACATACCAGTCTGCCTACCCCACATACCAATCTCCCTGGCCCCGAATATCAGTCTCCTCTTTCCCACAAAATAGTCTCCCTACTGCCCAGTTCCAATGTCCCTAGCTCTCCCCCACCCTCTCCATCAACACCACCACACACATACACAATCCCCCAGACGCCAGTCTCTATCCACATGAACCGAGGGGAGCTCGTCCATCAAGACTTCCTCCAGTCTTCCAATCTAGTCGAGACACAAGTGTCCCTACCCCCTTTAAACCGAGGGAGTGGGTCCCCCTAGACCCCCACCCTTTACCCCACCACAACACTAGTCTTTGATCCCCGTTCCCCTTGCACCGGGAATGCGGCCATCTAGACCACCCCCAGACACCAGTTCACCTCATGCCGATGAAGGGGGAGTGCGTCTCCCTTGACTTTACTGAATGTACAATTCACCTTACTCATTCACATTCTCCGCTCTGGCATGGAGCCAGCATATTTCGACTAGATCCACTGTTAAAACATCGGTACAAAGAGCGTGGAAAGAGGCCAATATCCACGAAACCAAATCTTGCAAGTGTAAGGAGAATCTTGCTATTTTCTTCAAACATTTGAGCGATGCACAAAAAGATATTCAGACAGACTAATTCAATATGTCTGGAAGATAGAAATATGTCAACATACAGGATGGAAGTTGTACGTGGGCACAATGATAAGTAAGCATGGATACAGATAGCTGTATATGGATACACTTATGTAAAGGTAGGGTAATACATCTAACAGCGAAGAGAGCAGGAAAGATGTAATTTTAGTAAGCTTTGGGTAAAGGTCGATGATTATTAAGTAAGTTCAGGTATGACAGAATATTTAAGGTGAGCTACTGTACAGGCATAATAATTCATGCTACTTTCGAAACAGGTAGGATAGTCAAGGTAAGCTGTGGATCAGGTAACATAATCAAGGAAAGCTAGTGGGCATGGAAGATAATCAAGGTAAGCTTGGGTTGGTTCGGGTTCATGAACGTTAAGTAAGGTAAGCTACTATTCAGGTAAGACATAGAACTTAATAAATGAAGTAGCACTATGCCATTCGTAAGCCAATGATAAAGTATAGAGTTACGATAGGTCGTAATGTTACGAAGGCTTTGTGGATCGGGACCCAGGTGGGATAATGAAGGTAACCTGGGGCACTGTTAGGAGGTGAGGTGAGGTGAGGTGAGGTGAGGTGAGGTGAGGTGAAATGGGGTCGTAATTCAGAATATTTCGATAAATATGACGACGTGCACGTGTGTGTATGTGTGACTGCGATACCATGCCGCAGTGAAGCATGAATACCCAACTCAGACACATTATACTGACTCCGAGCCGACCAGTCCTTGTTGTACCCATTAATGCCGAGCGCCAGGCAGAGACCAACAAGTACCATATTTTAACGTCTTTTGGTATGACGCGGTCGGGGATCGAACCCGCGACCTTCCGCTCTCCGGGCGGACGCTCTAACCACGACACCACGGAGAGGTACAGGTAGGAATGATGGAAACCCAGGGCATAAGTATGATAATAAAGGCAAGGTAGGGTACACGTATGTACGTTAATTAAGGCAAGCTAAGGTTCAGATAGACCAACTTACGCAGGAGAAGTAAGGTATCGGCAGGAATATCAAGGTAAGCACAGGGATCACTTATGGTAATTAAATTGAGCTGTGAGTTAGGTAAGATAATGAGGATAAACTATGGTGCAGGTGGGATAATTAATGTAAGCCATTGTTCAGTTAGTTTCAATTGGACAATTAAAGTAACTATGGCTGACGTAGGACAGTTCAGGTGGGCTGTGACTGAAGTAGGACAATTGAGGTGGGCTGTGACTGAAGTAGGACAATTGAGGTGGGCTGTGACTGAAGTAGGACAGTTGAGGTGGGATGTGACTGAAGTAGGACAATTGAGGTGGGATGTGACTGAAGTAGGACAGTTGAGGTGGGATGTGACTGAAGTAGGACAAGTAGGACAGTTGAGTTGAGGTGGGCTGTTGAGACTGAAGTAGGACAGTTGAGGTGGGCTGAAGTGACTGAAGTAGGACAGTTGAGGTGGGATGTGACTGAAGTAGGACTGAAGTGGGACAATTGAGGTGGGCTGTGGGCTGTGACTGAAATTGAGGTGGGCTAGCTGACAGTAGGGACAATTGAGGGACAGTGGTGGGATGTGACTGAAGTAGGACAATTGAGGTGGGCTGTGGGACTGAAAGTAGGACAGTTGAGGTGGGCTGTGACTGAAGTAGGACAATTGAGGTGGGATGTGACTGAAGTAGGACAATTGAGGTGGGCTGTGGCTGAAGTAGGACAATTGAGGTGGGATGAGACTGAAGTAGGACAATTGAGGTGGGATGTGACTGAAGTAGGACAATTGAGGTGGGATGTGACTGAAGTAGGACAATTGAGGTGGGCTGTGACTGAAGTAGGACAGTTGAGGTGGGATGTGACTGAAGTAGGACAGTTGAGGTGGGCTGTGGCTGAAGTAGGACAGGTTAAAGGTGAGGTGGGCTGTAGGAGGTGGGCTGTTGCTGAAGCTGAGGGGATGAGACTGAAGTAGGACAAAGGTGGGAGGACTGAAGTAGGCTGTGGCTGAACAGTGGGACAATTGAGGTGGGCTGTGGCTGACGTAGGACAATTGAAATGTATGTATGTATGTATGTATGTATGTATGTATGTATGTATGTATGTATGTATGTATGTATGTATGTATGTATGTATGTATGTATGTATGTATGTATGTATGTATGTATGTATGTATGTATGTATGTATGTATGTGTGTATGTATGTATGTATGTATGTATGTATGTATGTATGTATGTATGTATGTATGTATGTATGTATGTATGTATGTATGTATGTATGTATGTATGTATGTATGTATGTATGTATGTATGTATGTATGTATGTATGTATGTAAAAGCCATGTATGTAAAATAACAAACAAGAACAGATCTTGTAATCAAAAGAAAATAACAAACAGAACAGATCTTGTTCAGATAAAGGAGTTTTGACATGGAGAAATATCTGGACTCATCTAATTGTTATGATTAATAATTTGTCGTTGGGTGTTGATATAACGATACCAACGTTGTGTATCAATATTCCTTTTGTAGTTTCAAAAGTTACAGAGGTTTTTTTAGCGATTTCGTTTATAAATGGAAACAGCACCTTTTACAAGTTGGTAGTTTAACTGGTAGGGGAGGTAATAAGTTACACACGTACTGTACTTTAAAGGTGGATTTTTGCAGTGATTTTTATGTTAATTGTAATGTCTCGCTCTATGAGAAAAGCACTAGATTTGTTTAGATGTGCGGTAGCGCAGCTTAGAATCGAAACTGTAAAGATTTTATTGAAGATGAGATGTTTTATTGCATTGTCCTTTGTATGCTGATGAGCGATTGCAACTTTTATCTAAATGTACAAGTCTTTTAGATGTTTTTAAAAATCTGGGTATGTTGAAAAAGTTAGTTTTCTTCTAGCTTGTCCAGGTGTGTCGTTTTTATCTGTCAAAACCTGCCTTAATATTCTTAAAAAGCGTACTGCAAATTTGTATATAGCTTCTTAATGTAACTTGTACCCTTATTATTGCATTTTTAATATTCATATATTGTACTCTGTATATTGTGCACAAATGTCTCTCATAATTCCGTACGGAATGGCTCAACATTTTACAGTGATATAGCATCATTCGTTTTCTTTATTGAAAATAGACGTTTAAGTTTAAACAGACTAGGCCATTCATAGAAATAACTTGGAATATACATCATCCCGCTGTTGAAGAAGAGCTTTGGGATATGGGTTTTAGAAGGAAAAGGTATTTTTCATAGCACATATTTCATGTATGTCCTCAGCGTCTTCTTTCTACGAATAATGTGACAATGGACTGTTTCTCCACACAGCTGTGAGTTTCGAGTCGAATTGTGGTGGTCAGGGTTTCCGGAAATGTAACCGTTGTCCTAACCATTGTAAATCGATACCTTGTAAATGTTTTAATGTGCTACTGAAGTGTAATAGCTTGTATGATAACAGGCTATCTTGTCCCAACAAATAAATTTTATCAGGATATACTCTGTACTCCCATTGGTGTTCTCTATTTCAATAAGGGATTACAGGGATTTCATGAAATCCCTGAGCTAATATTTCAGTAATTTCATGAAATCCCTGGAAATTTTAGGGAATACATGAAATCCCTGGGGGTCACAGGGATTTCATGAAATCACTGACTCTTTCAGGGATTACGTGAAATCCCTGGTTTCACACATTCCCTGTAACATATATATACAACATCTCTAGTGTATCTCCATAGACCTTCCCCGTTGTTCACCATACCAGCTTCTATATGCTCCATGCAAATATCGCCTCATGTGTGTGGGTGTGGCGATATATACTTGTCACACCGATAGTACAGCAGTGGGCCTACACGTCTATGCTACGGATTGTCACGCTTGAGTGTATTTGCATGCTTGTCCGTCGTTGTCGGCAAAGAAGTTCCTTCAAGTAAGGGGATGAAATAACTACGTCGAAACAATAGATCAGGACCCAATCGTCAAATGTCACAAGTCGACATATTCGGATACCTTTATTTATCCCGTATAGATTGCATTATTTCGCAAATACAGATAAAACGCAAATATCCATCCCTTTCTCGAAATATGTAGCTACAGAAGCAATGATACATATTTGTTTCCGCTTGTTAACTTACCTCAAAATAATCCGTCCACATGAAGCTAAATACTCCGGGTTGTGCAGTTGACAGAACGATATCCAGTCTAGGAATCAAGGACTTAGATCTCCCACCCGACGGCGCTGATGTCTGTCTCGTCAAAGTGACGTAATCTCGCTGTTTCCCAGCTGGGTCTCGCGTGGCTGCAGCTGGCGATTGCCTCGATACACGCTTCATGTGAGATACTGTTTGTGATAATAACTAATATCGATGGTGTAAGATTGTAACATAATGGATATCGTGTCCACTTGATCTCGGATGTACTCGGTAGATGTTTTGACTAGTGTAAGATTGTAACGTAATGAATATTGTGTCCACTTGCATTCGGATGTACTCGGTAGATGCTTTGACTGGTGTGAGATGGTAACGTAATGAATAGTGTGTCCACTTGCATTCGGATGTACTCGGTAGATGTTTTGAGTGGTGTGAGATTGTAACGTAATGAATATTGTGTCCACTTGCATTCGGATGTACTCGGTAGATGTTTTGACTGGTGTGAGATTGTAACGTAATGAATATTGTGTCCACTTGCATTCGGATGTACTCGGTA